CCCCAAAACCCCAAAACCCCAAAACCCCAAAACCCCAAAACCCCAAAACCCCTTTAAAGCAAAATTAGGCTGAATTGTATTTTAATTGGCCGTGTGGGCATGGATGAATGAATTATAGTCAATTTGGTCCCCCTTCACATTATGCTGAGCTAACCCAGTAGGGCCTAGGTAAATCCCCATAGTCTTCAAGATGTTCGTGAAGTCTTTCCTGTCAATAGTTCCTGAATGAGATTTGTCAAATCCATTGATAAGCTTGTCAATGGCATCTCTCTTATTCTCTAAAACAAATTTAATAGCGCCTTTGGTTGATTCTCTATGAACTCTATCAGTCTTGGCTCCTTTCATGAATTCTCCAAGTTGGGATTTACTGTCATTAATTCCTTGAATAGACTTCAACAAGGATGCATTTTTAAGATACTTGAGGCTAGACCTCATATAATCAAAAGAGTTTTTGTGAAGGCCTAATTCTGTAGAAATCTTAACGTAGTTGACTTCTCCATTATGGGAATAAGCCTTGATCAACTTTGCCAACTCATCTCTGGTTAGGTAGACTCCATTCTTCTCAATACAAGTTGTGAATTCCTTCTTTGTTACGAATCCACTTGAGTTTATGTCAATAGAACTGAGAGATCTGAAGATATTCTTCCATTCATACTCCAACTTCTGTTTCAAAGCATCGTTAGATTTAGGAAAGAAGGAAGCTGAGAAGGTTGAATATTGGGAGAATTTAGACTTTCCACTAATTCCATCAGGAGAGAGAACTCTTTTTCCTCCAGTGATTAGATTCTGGTTATATCTCTGCTGATTCTTGCCTCTCTGTATGCTGACTCTACTACTTCTTGGACTGATAAGGCCATCTAGGGCTGTTCTCTTCTTAATGTCTAATTTTGGAGAAGAAATATCGTTATGAGGCTTTGATAAATGTTTAGATGCTTTTAGTAAAGGTGAAGAATCAGCTGCCCTCAAAATATCTTCCTTCATCTGCTCCATCCTCAGCATTGAAGGAGATTTTATATCACGAGCAAGAGTGGGGAGATTCTTGTGATTAGTTGTGTGAGATTCCCTAATATAGTTATTTCTAGAAATCTCTGACTTTGATGGACTCTTCATTACAAACTGTGATGTATAGGCCACCATCCTGTCGTCAATATAATCTTTGAACTTCTTATAATCAACCAACTGCTTGTTTTGAATGGAAGTGAAAGGTTTGAAAATCTTGAAGAGACTTTTACCCTTCAACTTTGGATAAAATAGCTGAAATGTTGAACTAAGTTCTGTAAGAGTTAGAAATCCATTAGAGTCTGCATCTTGTTTTCTAATATTCTTCCAGAAATCTAGCATGGCAGGCTTTTGCGTGAGTATTTTGAAAAAGTCATCTTCAGAAATAATCATAAGCTTCTTTTGGTTGATGCTAAGTTCTTCATCATCTTCTCTTTGCTCTAGATCGATGGTTTTATAGATTTTATTGATAGCCTTAGTTTTTCCAAAATCAAAGATAGGCCTGACGTTGATTTCTTTCACATTCCCTTCGTCTTTGAGATGGAAGCATTCTATCAATTCATTCCTGTCATCTTGATTTACATTAATATTATACTTCTTGATGATTTTGAAAAAATTCTTAATAGTAATCTGGTATTGGTACACTGAATCACATCCATTCTTGAGATCAGAAACAAATGAGCTCCAATTCTCTCTGCCCAGCTCATTTTGGATCTTGGACACAAGTCTTAAAGTCTTATCTGTTACGATTTTCTTGTGCATGTGACAGTAATTTCCCAATCCTTTCGTCTCTTCCCAGCAATTTGAATGCTTGCATCTAACAATTTTCTGGAGAGGGAGATCTTGCCTAAAATATAGGAATTCAACTGGTGAAATCACACTCCCTACACTTTGCTTGAAGTCTTCGTAGGTTATATGTCCATCTTTGTCATAGTCAAGGAAGTTATAAAATTCAGTGAATTGTTCATCTGTTATGTTGAGTCCCCAGTTTACTAGATACTTCTTGAGATCTACTTCTGAGATCCACCCATTTTTGCCTTGGTTTAGATCAGAAAAAGCCTTCTTGAGTGTCTTCCACTGAGTTGAGATTTTGTCAAGAATTCTTTTCATGAGATTACTATTCATAATTTTATCTGATACGATTTTCTTAGATTCACCACTGCTCTTATTCTGTTTTACTAAGTTTTCTTCGTACTGAGGGTTTTTCAAGGAGTCATGTCTGAAATAGAAGGTCTCGCTTGGCTCAATAGCTCCTCCCATCCATCTACAGAAGTCTTTAAAATCAACTTTTCCTTTCCTTTTTGAGTCTCTGTTCTTTATTAATGTTCTAAGATCTCTGAAGTCAAGTTTCTTATTGTCTTTCCCGAACTGTCTTGCAATATCTTCTGCAGTGATGTATCCATCATAATCCATGTCAATATCAAGGAAGGCCTTTCTGATGGAGGTCCAGTTGTTGGAGAACTTCTGCCTCAGAAGTTCTTCTATCTTCTTCATTCTTGCTACCAGAATATCTGACTTTACTTTGTCATCACTGATTTGCTCAAAGTTAATCTCGTCTTTCTCTTCCTCTTGCTCTTCGCCGATGAAGCTGTGAGGGAAGAAGGATTTATTTAAATAACTCATAACCTATTTTCTTCTCAGGTGCTCTAATAAACCACTTCTCGTGCTCGAAGAGCTTCAGAATCTCTTCACGGCTGTAAGGTAGCTTATAACTCAGCAGTGTTTGGAAAAAATTTTCTTCTTCTACATATCCGTTTCCGTTGAAGTCCATTTCTGCGAAGGCATTCTCTGCAGTTTTGTAGAGGGTTTTCATCTCTTTCCTTATTTTGCTCTTCATCTCATGGAACCTCTCTAGATCCTTCCTAGAGGCTATGGTGGCATTTGGCTTGCTCATATGCTGGTTTATAATTATTTATTTTATTTTCCTCACAAATGTTAAAATTGGGGTTTTGGGGTTTTGGGGTTTTGGGGTTTTGGGGTTTTGGGGTTTTGGGG